AACGTAAAAACTTCTTCAAGATTGTGTTCAGCAATATGGCTATAAGGACATCGCCGTAACAAGGAACTGTCATCATCAAATATAGTCGATGCTTAACGGAAATAAAAGCCTCTGCAAGTGTCGGGTAATAATATTTCGTTCAAGGCTAGAACCGGTAAAAGTACATGTCCGGTTATTATCGGCAAGGCGTTAAAGGAAGCTTACCTAACTCAAACACTATGAAATGCTTATTTGTACTAAAACGTTAAAGAAACGCTGTCTCATTTTCGATCAAATCTATCCAAACATGTAGTATATCCTAAGAAGCTATGAGACAACGTTTGCCAAAAGGGGCTATCTCAGTGAATGCGGAGGATATGCCTATTTCGTCACATTCGATCATAATGATGGCGAATGACCGGTACTTACAAGCACCGGTATTTTGGCTTGAAAAGTTTGCTTAAATTTAAATACGTAGATGGTGCATATTTGATGGCGCGTATTTTGAATTATATCAACATTTTTCACGATTTATTTCTTCGGCTCACAGATATCCCGCTTCTGAATAAATTTTCTTTGTATAAATCACTAGCGACTATTCGAACCTACGTTGTTTCGAATTTCGGATGAATTCTTTGACGCTTTATTTAGCTCTTTTGTACTCCCAAATAAGTACATCCACATATGTAAATCTACATACTGGTTAAATAATATAGCTTATATATAACTTGCTAAAAATCTGCATTCTTTTTCTTCTAGGCCCATCCTATCACAAATGTTTGATATTATTGTTTCTAACCGTCTTTTTTTTATAAGTCATTCCCAACTTAAGGAATATCAGCCTTAGAAGTGATCGAACTCAAGCTGGTGTAAAGTTGTACGAGCACCATTTTCAAACACTTAGGTATTTTCCTTCTAACATTTTCGTTTTGGTGAAAAAGGCCAGAATGTCTGCCCGCATTAGTGTATGATGTTCCTACGCGACGAAAGTTAAACGTTGGCGAGATTCACTGCCGTGTGCAATTGCCTATTAAAGTTTACAGGCGTAAACAAGACTCGAACCGCCAGGCTCCACTGATAGCAGTGATCGTCTATCTTGGAACCGTTTTTGTTTTCTTGCCAAAGTTAAATCACAAACCTTCCGTTTGTTTCCCTACTATTTCTGCTGGCTGGCCGAACATTATAATGTGACGCGAGTTGTTTTTTTGTTTAAGGCTTTGAATTAGAATGAAGAGCTAAAAATTAACTTATAGTTACTTCAATACTGTGAAGTTTAGTTGTAGCATAACAATACAGCTCCAACATGCTATATTGGATTTTATCTAAGGCCTACGACGAAATTTAATATTTGAATGCAGAGAATTTCCTGAAGCACTGGGCGTTTTCAAGAAATTAAAGAACTGGTTTTTTAATTATTATATATATTATAAGGCACAATAGTTGTGGAGTTCCGTGGGATTAAAATCAGACTAGTATTTTCAAAGCCGTATTTACGTTATTGGTTAGAAACGTTATTTAGAAATCCATCATTAATCTCCACACTTCATTTCAATTAACTAAATTATCGGAAAATAAATACGAGAGTACTATGAAAACGAAGAACACGTTTGCGATTTGGTAAGTTTCGTAATTGTTTACAGTGTACGTTTTTTATTTAAGAATTACGTTTTGCGGGAGGTCAGACAGGTGTACGAGGCAAGCCAGAATAGCTGAGCTTTCCAAGTATACCTGTTGTCCGTTACGTTGATGTTGAACAAGACTGTTGATGTAATACATAAGTTGCCTGCCAGCTGGTTGACAACAACTCTGGTCAAACTTGTACCTCAGAGCCATTATTGTGTAAAGAATATCCGAAAAATTGTTTCGGCCCATATTGCGACTTATTAAATACATGGTAATATATTTCGATCATACAGCCGCAACGCTTCTTCAGTATCTGTAGTTCCATCGTAGTTTTTTTCAGCGGCATTCGAGAGAGCAAAATCGTATCCCATCGTGATGGAATTATACTTTATTATATAAATTTAAGGTCCAGATAGTTATCTCCGTGCACGTTGGACCTGCCGAGCATTTTTCGTGGATTGCGTCAAGATGGATTTCGGTTCTCGATGAGTAAGAAAAGATGCCGCAACATACAGACCTGTACGTCTCAAATAATTTTACCCACAAGCCAAAAGACTAGCTCCCTCTGTACTGTGGTTTATGGGATTATCTGGAAGGAAGGTCAATAGGTCAATGCAGGAGAGTTACCTAGAAGGGTCTTTGATTGTTTTCTATGATTGGAGAGATATAGGCATAATGCACCCACGAAAACTATTATGGGGTAGATTTTGCTTTACTAGATGAAAAACAATTAAAATTACAGAAAAGTTGAGCTACTCTAGTCTACTGTTTATAGTTCTAAAGTATTATTTCCCACAACGGATTTCATAAAGCGCCCGTTCTGTGTTATTTTACGTTCAAGAAGGCAAAGGTTTAGTGATTCAAAAGAAGAAAGTCACGAACCACCAATAGGAGTTGTTGTTATTGTCGTAGTGATAGCATTGTTCTTAATCCGTATCTTGATTTGTAAAAATTTTTAATTTTCGGTGAATTAGAACTAGGCTTCCAGGCTCTTGTTCCACCCGTTAGATACGCCATTCTGTCACTGCAGCTGAGGTTCCAAAACGTCGCACTCGCTAAGCTGAGAGGATGCTTATGCAAGTCACACTCTTGTGTGCGTTGTCTAGCACAATTCGAAATCGTCGCAAAGCACGATAGGCGCTAATTTAGCACTCACGATAGATAGGGTCGACGCCCGAGGCGTTCTGCATGCGATATCCAATGCGTTTCGTTCTGTGCATATTTGTTGCATACGCCCTCCACTCTGCAATTTGTGTCCCAGACAAAAGTTGCACCAGATAATTGGTTTCAATATCGCCAAGAGCTAAGCCATTATATGAAAGGTCTATATTTTGCAAAATTGGCTCACTGATAGATAAATAGTTTGAAACAGACGAGACAAATCTCATACAGGGACCTATATCTGGCCAACCGGCAACTGTGCCTTGTTCATGGTCGGATTGAACTTCCGACGGTTTTGACTCATACATGGAGGGAAAACTGTGCATGTGAACCGTAAGCAGCTAGGTACATATTCATAGGTGTGCCCACAAAGTTTCCACTTAGAGCTTTTAATGGAGCCTGAAGATCCGATAATTCTATAAACACAAGATCAGCTTCGTACAGGTGTAGTAGGCCGGAAGCCTAGACGCAAGGTTAATTGTGCTGATGAGGAAATTGTTTCTCGGTGCTCGGCGTTCACAGATGGGAAGTTAAAAATAACTCGAAAACTAAATATTGTTACGGGAACGTAACGGAGTGTTATCACCTATCATTCATTCCTTTTTTGACCTGTCTTAACCGGCGCCGGAATAGTTACTAGATTATACATATACAAAATACAGATTCGGTATATTCTTACTTTGCCCCCATGTGCGGCGTTATTTTCGTTTGAAGCGGCGTGATCTTCATAAAGTACACGACAACAAATAAATAAGTATTAAGGTTATAAATTAACAGCTAGTATGTTCCGCATGTATCTTTTCCAATGTCACAAAACCTTCTATGAGTTCCGTAGCAACATAATCGCAGCTGTGGCCTTACCGAGTCCCAATAATTTGTGCTTGAAGTTTCGCCAAATAACGGAAGCCACTTCCATACCAGTAGGTACTAAAGTGCTTCTTAGAAACCCAAAATATGCAGTGACGTTTGATTTTTTATTTGTATCATTGGAATGGGCCTATCGAGTAAGGGCGTACTTCGTCGTAATAAAAGAAATATCGTAATATACGTTTTATGGTATAATTATGTAAGTGCAATTTTCAAATATTTGAAAGAAAATCATTTATAGTCGGGCCTTCCACTAATTTTCTGATGAAACATAAAAATACTTGTCACATTACACAAACGTACAACATTTAACACCAGGATAAAGTGTGAGTAGGATTACTAATTAATATTTGTTCTTGTTTATTAGGTTAGGATTTAACAAAGAGGGTTGTATAAGTAACTGTTAATATAATAGACAATTTCTCTTACAAGCACATATTGAAATCCCGCTCGTATACAACTGCCTGCCGGCGTCAAAGTTGAAGTAACTATATCTATAGAAATCGCATTAGGTATTGCTTGCGAAACAGGAACTAACCATTATGGGAATGAACGAATTCGTTTATAACCTATCGACCGCAATGTTTATAGTTAACGTACAACCCGAAATGTCCAAACTGTTCAGTAAGTCAGAGAGTTCCGTCAAGTAGCGAACAGTCCTCAATCAAAGTGATGTTTGAGTTGTTGCTAGGACTTGGTACCGTGTAACAGTCGTATGGTGGCGTAAAAAGGAGAAATAGAATTTTTTTCTGGAATCCTGCAGTCAGGAGCGATCATTAGAGAAGGACGTTGTAGAAAGCATGAAGCTTTGCGAACGGCTTAATTCTGTAGGATGCTGACTGTCAGCAAATATTTGTTGTAAGCGGAAATCTGTCATCCATGATAGCTGGTGAAGTGGACGCACCGCCGCAGAAGTAGGTCCCGTGTGTACGAAAACTGAAAATTCTGTCGGCAAGCTATGCTGAAATATGGTGATACGGGCTCTCCAATAACTAGTTAAATTTCTGGAATTTAGCTTAAATATTTTCAGGTACGACAAAGTCATTTTTAAACGTTATGAAAATCTGGGATGCTGGGGAAAATATGCTTTATTCGAAATGTGTTTAATACAAACTAAATTCTATTAAATATTATAAAACGTTGCTAGTTCGAAAGATCGAGTTCAAACAGAGTCAAAGTAACTGCAAGTACTTCCAATTTGATTCAAAAGTTCTCTAAAATTTATGATTTTCCAAAAGGAAGCTCTATAACTGTTTTTTTCTATTTCTTAAAAATCGCAATTCGACTGACTTTGTTAACAGCATTTCGGATAAACCAACGCGCAACTGACCTGTGTTGTAAGAGCCCTCCTATGAGAAAACACATAGTTATGAATATTAGAAGATACGACAATTTCATGTTTTATTTTTGCTCTGTGTTGACTTTACGACGTATGAGAAATTTAGCGAGACTGCCTCAATAGCATTGATTTATTTCCCAAAAGCAAATAAATAATACTGCAATTGTAATTTATTTAATAGCAACACATTCATTTTGATAATAGTAGGAAATATTTAGCTAGAGCGGACACACCTAGTGTATATTGCGTTACACCTTCCCTCTGAATGTAGGTACAGGACTGATTGGCCATTTATTGCAATAGTATAGTATGACAATATCTACCGCTTGTCAGATGTGCTATAGCTCAGCCGTGGCGATATGAAAAGCACGAACGAATATTTCTGCCTTTTTCTCTCTGCTTGGAAGAGTCTCCTTAGCGTTGTTAGGACGGGACCTTGTCCCTAAATTTCAAGGGAGCCCCCGGCAGCTACGATTAAACTATTACAAAACTACCACCACCGAATTCTACTGCCGTTGCCCCTTGCCTTGATCTTCGTCTTCAATATTCATCGCCGTCGCCTTCGCCGTCATCCTGGTTTGAGTCGGTGCCGACCTCTTCATAATCTTTCTCAAGGGCAGCCAGGTCTTCACGGGCCTCCGAAAACTCGCCCTCCTCCATACCCTCGCCAACATACCAGTGAACAAAGGCACGCTTAGCATACATTAGATCGAATTTGTGGTTGAGGCGAGCCCAGGCGTGGGCAATGGCCGTTGTGTTGGACAGCATACAGACGGCACGTTGAACCCGAGCGAGGTCTCCACCAGGCACTACCGTTGGAGGCTGGTAGTTGATGCCGACCTTGAAGCCTGTGGGACACCAGTCGACAAACTGAATTGTACGTTTGGTTTTAATCGTGGCAATTGCCGCATTCACGTCCTTGGGCACGACGTCGCCACGGTATAGAAGACATACTGCCATGTACTTGCCGGCTCGGGGGTCGCACTTCACCATCTGGTTCTGCGGCTCGAAACAGGCGTTTGTGATTTCCGACACGGACATCTGCTCGTGATAAGCCTTATCGGCGGAGATAACCGGAGCGTAGGTGGCCAATGGAAAGTGTATTCTTGGGTAAGGCACAAGGTTGGTTTGGAACTCAGTCAAGTCAACGTTGAGCGCACCGTCAAATCGTAACGAGGCCGTGATCGAGGAGACGATCTGACCGATCAGCCGGTTCAGATTCGTGTAGGACGGCCTCTCGATATCGAGATTCCGGCGACAGATGTCGTAAATCGCCTCGTTGTCCACCATGAATGCGCAGTCCGAATGTTCCAGCGTTGTATGAGTATTCAGGATTGAGTTGTATGGCTCAACAACAGCCGTCGACACCTGGGGCGCGGGGTAAATCGAGAACCTGGGAACGATAGGGATACCGAGCGAAATCAACTGGTTATCTAGAACTTCACCAGTTTTTAGCCAGATAAAACAAAATTTACCTTGCAACGATTAATAACGTTAAATAATAATGTACATTGAATATTTATAGAAGAACGCTACATCTACCAAGCTCAGAGCGCAAATACAAGATGAATTGAGCATGGTCAACTATAGCCATGCATTCCGATTTTCATGTTTCCATGTGTTCCGCATTGACTGTTGTTATTATTATTATTATTGTCGATTGAAATCGCTCGTAGTTTACTCACTCAAGTTTCGACTTTTTGCCGTAATCGACAGAGAGACGCTCCATGAGCAGCGAAGTAAATCCGGATCCAGTTCCCCCTCCGAACGAGTGGAAGATCAGAAATCCCTGAAGGCCAGTACACTGGTCGGCGAGTTTGCGGATTCGATCCAGCACAAGATCGACGATCTCTTTTCCAATCGTGTAATGACCACGTGCATAGTTGTTCGCGGCATCCTCCTTACCCGTAATCAACTGTTCAGGATGGAACAGCTGGCGGTACGTGCCAGTGCGGACCTCATCTGTAAAACGAATGCCACGACGAAAGCAAGTAGCAAGACAATTCGTTAAAATATATTATAAAAGTTACATAGCGTTACCTAAAGTTGAGAAAAGTTTAGCAACATGTCTTAAAATTCAAATAAATGAGGCGTCTAGCAAAAAATCATTTTATGCATCTAAGTTTACCTGGTAGAATTGGACCGATAAATTGATTTCTTTAAACTACAGAGCGACGTCAAGGCCTTATGATACACAAAAGTAGGTCCCATTGAGTTATCATCCTTACTCATAAATTAACGGCATAATTATTCAACAGAGAAAAAATTACGGATAACGTGGAAATTCGAAGAAAACGTTGCAAGGCCCCTAATGACGTCTGACAGACACCGCATCACATGAAAGCATTCTGAGTTTAAAGTTTAACGTTGTTTTCAATACCATAGATGACTATTCACAATTATTGTAATTGCCAAAGCATATAGATGTTTTCAGATGAACAAATACAATAGAAGCCATAAACCTTTCACGACGTCCATTTGGCCTGTTCGGCTCTGACCGCCCAATCGAAGTGCGATCCCGTCTTAAAAATACCATATAACAAATGTAGGTATGGCATAATCGTTCTCGTATAACATGGCGCGCTATCCAATTCTTGATGGCAAGCGTTTACCGCGCACTAGATGAAGCCTTTCATCAATGCAAAATGTGCTCAAACTATCTAGATTAACCGGGCAGTCACGTCAGTAATCCGAGCGCAGAGCTCGTCCTGGATCAACCGATGTTAGCTCCCGTATTGGTAGGTGTTTATAATGATTTGCTGAAGGACTTTGCCGCTTTGTAGCGTTAACTGTAGCTCTGGCAACGTGATACGTATATAAGAAAAATAAGTTGGATTCTAGAAATTGAGTCGACGGTCAGTAAACGTGTTTCCGACGCGAACGAAGCTATTTGAAACGGTTTTCTAGAAACTAGCTAAGTATTTTAGCTCAACTGGTTTAGTCATGTGATAAGCAAAGAAAATGGGTGCGAGTATATTTTTATTTACGGCTTCCCATGTAACAGCTTGGAAGCATACAGCTTCGCTCGAAAGAGCCTAATAAACTTGATTAAAAAAGAGACCATATTTTCGTAAAAACTGCCGAAGCAGGTGCTAAAAATAGCTCAAATGACGATCATGATTTTTTTACTCAAGGTTAAAATAGATGACGCTGATACCCACCGACGACGGTAGGCTCCAGATCGACGTAAACCGCTCGCGGTACGTGTTTTCCACTTCCAGTCTCGGAGAAAAACGTATTGAACGAGTCGTCCGCGGCTCCTAGCGTCTTGTCCGATGGCATCTGCATATCAAGCACAAATAAAGAATGAACCGAGCAATACCATAGTTTTGAATAGACGATTATTAAGAATGTGATCGTATTTTTCAATTCAGATCTTTTGATATAGTAGTGGATGTTGTATATACTGTATCAGAGGTAGATATCGTCTAAACTATAATTTATAACCTTTGATTTTGATAATTCCTTCTCTGTGTGAACAGTTCGTTGGCAGTAGATAATTTTTTTAATTTGCATAATTCATACAAACCTGGCCATCGGGTTGGATACCATGCTCGAGACAGTAAAGTTCCCAACAGGCATTGCCCATCTGGACACCAGCCTGACCCACGTGCACGGAAATACATTCACGCTGCAATTTGGAAGATTAAACATACGTTGCTAGTACGCTCATTATTTGCAGTTCTAAATAAATTGGCATGGGGTTCATGCCAATAACGTACATAGCACAGCGACAGATTCAACTAATGAACCATAGACAACAATAGAAAGCAACAAAGTACAGACGTGTGGACGGAGGCGCAATACCAATGGAAAGTAGTGCACCTGGAGTCCTCGACAGGCGTAAATAATACTTTGCTTATTTGTTATTGTTATTCTATTTAAGTTGTTGTTATAGCTTCGGGACTGCTATTGACGCTGTACTTGCCACCAGTTACCGTAGCTAACACTGAAAATAAGGTTAGCATCAAGAGCATAGTTATCTTTGTCATTTGTGCAGGACAAGCGGTTACAGTCAAGGCAGCTTCCCTTTGTCCTGCTTTTGGCTAGTCCATATGCCCTTCAGCCTGGTTAGCACCCATCCTGTTAGCTTTTCTCAAAAGCGGGGAAACTCACTCCACCCGCCGTACTCCGAAGGGAAGGACCAAACCGTCGTCACTGGCATCGCAGGTGCTCAGAGCAACAAAGCATACTATTATATTATATAGCGGTTGTTATATGCTGAGACGTTATTACGCTCACTTGTATCGTCTTTTAAATACAAAACAATGGCTACAGAGTAGAATGGTCATTGTAATTCTGCTTCAACAGACACAAGCGAGGTTTTTAGCCCGTGTGACTAGTCGCTCTACAGGCCACTGTATTCCGTCTTAGCTCTTTGGGTTTTGAGTAGATCCGTCCCGGCTTTTTGGTCTTTTCTCAGTTGATCGGCTTTTCTGCCCAAAAAAGGAACTCAGCAGATATGCGCTTAACTATGAAGTTTGACAATTCACTCTGCTGTGAGAGGCCTAGGAAATAGAGTCAGTTTCTGGACGGTCGGGAAGATAAACAGACGCCAGCCGATAAAGATCGTCAGAACCGTTGATGTTGGAAGTGAAGCGTGTCTGGTTGTAGACACTCATCCTATCATCGAACAGTAGATATATGAGGATGTGCAAGCAAATAGCTATCGAGGTGTTTTTTTTTATTTTTGTTTAGGGGTTTGACTGTGCTTGGCTCGGTCATGATGATTAAGTAAGAAAGTATTTAGTTTTTTCACAATGGTATCCCAAGCCTCGAACGCAGCAACGCATATCTGATTCAGTGCACATAATTCCTGTTTATTCGAATTTTCAACTATTTGTACGTCATTTAGTTAGACAGGGCTAGCATGAAGCTAGAATGAATGAAGAATGACGATTTTGTCTTCATCAACTTCGATAAAGCGCATCGCTATTATTCGACACATAGGATGCTAAAGCAGAAGCTGCGAGCGCACATCATTCTATGTAAGGCCACGCCGGATAAGGACGATGTGAATCGCATCGCCGTCACAAGTGCTAGTGAGTTAGGCATCGTTTTCTATTTTCAGCTACGAAATCCGTCGGAATCAACAAGGCCAAACAAGCATTTTTCGTGAACAAGCCGCTGACGCAACTAGCCTCGATGTTGTCGAGGGAGCATTACCGTAGAACTGTTGCTGCTTTTCGTATTTAGAACAGTAGTTTTAACTTTTATAAAAGTGTATGTTCGTACATATAATTTACAATAGATTTTGGCAACTGTGCCTGGAACTATGGATAGAAACATGCGAATGTACGACACAACCGACAACCAACAATTAGTAAAACCTACATTTTGTCCATAGAATCGCTTTTTTTGCAGCGTGTCCTATGGCCTATTTTGAATAGTCAATAAATCCCATTATCTTATATTACTTTGCTGGTTGATGCTGTTTGAGATGTCATCGGGAACGCTGTGTGTCATATGTCGAAGAAAAAAATCTGAATGTGACAGATTCTGAGAAAGAGTGGGCGCAGTATATTGACTAATATAAGTCTATTGATTACAATGCTACAAAATTTTCTCAGAAAAACAAATACCAAGGTTATAAATTCATCTTGTTAGAGAATATCATAAATGCTGCTATTTTCATTTAAAACTACCCGCACGATTCAAAACAGCCTGAGTGAATGATCTCTAACATTGCAGAGCATTCGACTGGTCCCTGCCAAATAAACACTGATAGGACTTTCCTTGCCCCTTTTTATGTATATTGTCTTATCGTCTTAATCAGAACCGTGAAAACAATCGAATTAACAACATCAGTGTTTTTCCGATCTGCGCGGGGCAGCTCCATGACTAATCTCACCCAGGTGACTTTAGGAAAGTTACATGAGCGCTTGATCGTGAAGTTTCACTCTGTAAAAGCGGGAATTTCTCAGTTCGGTTTCCAGTCGAGAAGACATTTTCTTTATTTTTACTATTATGTCGACGTATCTATGATTGAGCGCCTCTATTTCTATTCAAGCGGGACGCTATTTGCACGCGTTGCAGCCGAGAGGGACTGATAGAGGCTGCCTGAAGCAGTCGGTCCATGTGAAATTATCCGTTAAAATGAGCACTTATCACAGGTGCAAAACTAGCTAAAAACTACCTGGTCTTTCGATGTTATCGAATTTGATTATTCTAACGATTATTTGGTACGCGCTCGCTTTATCTTTTCATAGATCTTTTCAGTTTTGTTTCCTGTCCTTAGACCCGTATATTTTTCATTGTCCCTCAATCATCTCGTCAATCTCCGAACTATCGTTCATGCAGTGCTAGCGTAGCTTAGAAGGTTTTTAACGTCAGTCGGTCCAATCGAATCAAAAGTGAACGTACGTCCGCTGTAATTTATTTCAGAAAACCACGATCGGCCTCACCCCAGAGTTTGTACGTCAAGACGGAGTGATATGCCGAAAACCGTACGTGAGTTAGCCGTCATGAACCGTCTAAGTTCGGAGGCCATTAACAGCAAGTATCATATCAGCGCTCGACACCAACAGCGACAAGAAGGGGTAGACTTCGTCTTGCTCGCGCGTCTGCAAGTACAGTTCAATTGCGCTACTTACGGCCGCTGGTACGTTTGCATCAGAACGCTATCCGTTTACGGGTCGGTTTAGCCCGTTCCATCAAATTTCATTCGTCTCAATGGTCAGGCTGCCTGGTGATACGCCATCGGCTGATGTCAACAACAGAAGCAGCCTATTTTCTGGCAGACTTTGCGCTCGTATTTCGTGTTCGATTTCGTTTTCGGACGAACCAAACGAAATTTTCTTCGTTTTTATTTGGAGGCCAGACCTGCGTCGTTTCTTATATATACGGCGTTAAAAGTTTCGCTGTAGTTGCCAGAAGTGGCAGCGGTGGTAATTGTCGGTGCGTTAGCATTAGTTGAGACCGGTAGCTGATGGGTCGTTCGTATCGGCCCACATTCGGCGCGTCGTCGAAACGGAACCCATCTTCGGAAAAGTAGTACTTGGTACAGCTGAAGACGCGTGGTGGCATGGTAAAAACTGTACTGTCAGCCACGGCATCCGGGGGAGAAAAAAAGTTCTATGGACAGACATTGTCGTGTCTAGTGGAATCCCTGCTCGTATACAGAAAAAATGGATGACGACGAAAATGTCTGCTGTGCTTTTCTGTATGTTTTGTGCATGGATTCGTACTGGAGGCCTCGTAGTAATACAATGGCGTTACAATATGTGTGTGTAGATAATGCATGGGAAATGAATGTGGGAAAGCGACAGGAAGCAAAGGGAGCCACAGCAGCATAAATCTAGAAATATTTGATATGTTTTTTATTCGATAAAAAATATTCGCGCGTTTTATCTGAAATTATATAAAGCAACTATGTTATTTGATCAGTGTTGTAGTTATACCGATATTAATTTGGCTATATCCGAGCTAATTACTAAACAAATTAATCCATCGAAAGATATATTTACATTGAAAAAGTACATTCACATTAATAAAATTAAAATTTCACGTTTACACATCGATGTGTGTTTACCAATGTGGTATTGACTCTGTTCGTTGAGGTATTAACTAACATTTTTTTTTTTATCTAAGTATCATGTACGTCTCTCTTTCTAGCTGATTTTCTTCGTCGAACAAGCAAGCCCGCGAGAATTCGAATTCAGACTATCGCACACAACCAGTAAATATTAGAGATAACGAATAACCTTTATCTTTCAAACGTTTTAGGCTGCTAAGGACATCAGTAATATTGATCCGTCGAATTAGAATTGTCATGAAATCCGTTTTTTTTGTCCGCTCTCTGCTTTCTCATTTACTTTGCTTTCTGTTACACGCGAAGTGTTCGTTTGGGAACAAAAAAAAAACAAGTGATACATTAAGAAATCTATTATTACGCCCTGAACCACAGACGTTATAGCGTGTCAATGCTTTAGCTCTGAGAATTCACTTATTTCGTAAACAATTTATCTGCATAGTAACTTTAGCTTTGTGTCGCGTATTGCCTGGCCGGGTCCGCAGCCCATTGCAAGTATGAACAAGCATTGAATGAATCCATTATGAATTCCGCAGAACGTGAAAATGAATCCCTTTGAACTCATCAGTCCACTGGTCTGGACCTGTCTATGTCGATAGCGTCCCAGCGGCTTCATCCATTAACATAAAAGCAAATCACAACAATTTTGGCAAGTAAGTGGTTCTCTTCTCAGGATTACCGGCATTGCCACAGAAAATCACCCAAAACTGTCGTCATCGAGCAAAGTCAGCGAACGTGAGAGCGTGAAGCAACTCTGAAAAAAGACGAGTGAACCAACTTCGGCGCACTATGAATAACGAGAAAAAAAAAACAAGCTGAGACACAACAGCGGCCCGATTTTTATATGAGAAATCCAACTCATATCGAGGCGCCGTATCGAAATACGGTCGCGGAACGACCCGTATTTCCCGATTTTTTTGAGACGCCGACTAAGGCCGTAATCAAGAGCTTGGCTTCATGCAAGATAGCTTAAAACGGTGCGGGCAACTGTAGTCAAGCGGATAGATACCCTTCCTATAGATCTGTTGTGCAGACAGGGTGTTCTATTTTCTTTGGACATCGGCGTTTTTTTCTGTCCGATAGTCAGTAACATACTGAGC